TTTTGTAGCCGCTCCTGCGCCGCCGCCGCCGCCGCCGCCGCGGCTGAAGAAGATCAACTGTGCCAATGAAGAGGACCCATAGCGTGGATGCGGTTGCAACGCAAACTGCACATGCTCCCTCCTGACAGCCGGCCGCCTCCCCCGCCCGCAGTCCTTCGATCACTTAACCCTTTCGCTGCTGCGCCCTGAAGGTGCAACCTGGGCAGCGGGAACGTGAGAGGACGCGAGGGAAGACCCGGCCGACTCCCTCCTCTCGGGCCCGCTGTCCGCGCGCTGCTGCAGACCCCATCCCCGACGTTTGCTTCCTTGCCTGCCTGCCTGCCTGCCTCGTGCGATGGGCTGAGGAGCCGTAGCGAGGGAAGAGTTACTCCGTTCAGGTCCTTGGTTGGCTGCGTTCCCTTCCTGGTTTGAATAATTCACCTCCCGGCAATTTGCACGCGGCCCGTTTGTTTCCTTCGGCAGCCGGCCCAGGCCCCGCGTCCCCCGCGGCTCCTTGAGGCCGAAAGATGGGTCTTGCTGTAGCCCGGTGGCTTAGCAGAGGAGGCCGCCACGTCAAGTAGTCTGTCCTCAAAGATGTGTGAGGGCCCAGACCCGACGCGGCCGCAGGAGATAATGTGGAAGAGAAACAGACCCTCCTTTTTGCAGCTGTAACAGATCCGATGGATCGTAACCTGCCTGCTTATGGGGGTGGGAGAGGGACAAGCCCCTCTTGGATCCCCGAGCCACCGAGCGAAGAGGTGCAAAGTCTTTCGGTTTCTCCTTTAAGAAAGAATGTTAGGAATATCGTTGCTCTGCGGGATTCAGCACCCAGTAGCTTCCAGGCAGCAGGGTTGCAGGTAAGACTAAAGGCCAAATACAGGCCCCCTCAGCCAACGTGAGCCCCGAGGCCATTCAGAGTGGCAGATTATCAGGGTAGCAGCAGAGAGGCTCAGCAGCATCAGCCCCTGGGCGGATAAGGACATGCTGGTCCACCAAAGAGGACGATGCCCATTTCTTGTTACGCGCATCTATGTGTGAATGAGAGAACCAGTGTGCTGCAGCAGCAGGGAAAGCCCCAGATTCTAGTCCTCCCCTAAGCATAGGGAGGATGGGAGACTTTGTTTGGGTATGTATGTTATATATAGAACATTTTCCTCTGTGTGTGTATATAAAATTTTTCTGTATGTATATTTCTCTTCCTCTGTGTTCAATTTCCACTGTGCATATAGATAGATATCCATATATATATATACACATACATATATATATATGTGTGTGTGTGTGTATACATACATATACACATACATACACACATACGTACATATAGCAAATTCCATGTATGTAGTCTCACATACTTTATTTTTGCCTTAGAAGTACATTCTTGTCTTCTTAAATATAATGGTGCATATTCCCAAGTAAGACATATGGCTATATAACTCTCCATGCCCCCTAAAAGACCATGAAACCCAGATTCATGGTCTACATAACCATTCCACTGGCCTATGGATAAATTTATTTTAGAAGCACTTTGACTTCAATTAGAGGACAAGGAGAAATTTGTCTCCTTTTGAGCTTCCATTTGTTTCATGACTTTTGGGGATTGTACTCAAACCAATTTATTCCCAGGAGAGTATTTTGACATTGAAATAGAAATTGCTGGGTTGATACCATAATAACTTGTCAAGTCTTGACATTTTTTGAATGCTGGTTATGATGTCCTATTTTGTGATGTTTGGTTTTGGCCTGATGAATGGCTGGATACAGAGCACAAAAAAGGTGTGACTCTGGGGTTTCACAATACCCACCCCTTCTGTAAACAAATATATTCTCTCAAAATGTAATTTACTTCATTTGATGTAGTAATGAAGGTGCTTCTCAGATTAATTCCTCTCTGTGATAATATCTACTATTAATCTGTTTGATTTAGGAATTGGTTCTACATGGCCAATCTTGAAGGTTTCTACCACAGTGAGACGTGGTGCACAGGAATTTAAGCCTCCTAGGAGGAAAAATATGAAATAAATTTCTGTTTTGTAAATGAGATTGTTCTCTCTCAGCTAGTTTTGTTCTAATAATTTATTTTTAAAAATTTCTACAACCTATATGAGATACATGTTTAAGATAAAAACCAATGAAGATTAAAAATCTATGAATGAAAATTTTCAGCCAGAATAAAATTGGCCTTTTGACACTTTCTACTGTGTTATAAATGTTAAAGCTTTAGAATGTAAAATATAACAAAGTTTTACTATTTGCTGAAATAATATAAAAGAAATAAGTAAATATTCCCCCCCCCCCCCCTTTTTTCAAAATCTCTAACCAACCTCGAATACCATTTTTTTTTTATTTTTTAAAAAAT